ACATGTCTGTATAGATCACTGCATCCATCCCTCTGCTATCACCAGCAGAGCTCTGCTGGAGCCACAGAGCAAAGATCAATTTTGCATTCAGTTACATGTCAGTCTAGGGCACATTTCATGGACTCTCTTCAGTTGCAGTGCTGGTAGTTTCCACATCTCCATGGTACAAGGCAATATTGTGCAGAGATACCTAAGCTAGAGCTGCATGGGGGAGCTGGGGTACTGGAAGCAGTAAACATTATCAGGGTGCTCACTGGGCTCATTTGCCCTGCTCCTCAGCAGACCACCATGCTATTGTGGCTGTACTGCATCCAGCAGCTGAGCAAACTTGGGTACCTCTGCATGGTTCTGCATCATGCCATTTAAACATACAATCAGGTGAATACTGGAAAACTCAGGTTGGTCACTCCATGACATATGGCTCTATTCTGCTTTTGATGTGCCCGCATAATCACTATCAGGGCTGTATCCATGTGCCAGAAAAAGAATATGGGCCCATTGCAATTTGTGGTTAATAGCTATTGGTTGAGAAGAGCCTCTAAAGAAAGGCGGCTACTAGGAATTTTCTAAAAAAGTTTAGAATTGAACAAGCTTGCATCCTAAGGAAGCTCTTTCCAACTTCTAAGACCTTTGTTGTGAGGTATAGTGATATTGGTTGCTCATTTGTTTTAAGCCTCTAGCATTGCCCTTCTCTCTATCTTCCCATAAAATCCCAGTATTCTGGGGATAAGAACCACTCTTTGCACCTCCTGGTTTCTAGAACACCTGCCTTGTATTTTTTAACATCATTGGTAAGCCAATCCTATTTCTACTTTTTCCTTGTGAATATTTGTTACCTTATTTCTCTATTTGCTTTTGTCTGTGGCCCACTCAGCAGCTAATTAACCTCAGTGCCTTTATGGAGTTTCATTGGAGTCACTGTCCTGTATGACTAGACCCTTATGTGAGGTCATGGCCTAGTCTGTGCTGTTTAACTCTGTTCGACTTGGGGACCATGTCCAAACGAGTGTGGATGTTTGGTTCTCTGGAGACAACTAATGGTGGCACAAGGTAGGCCACCACCAGCTGTCCCTGGGCAACACCTGTGCCACGTGTGCTCTGGCGTACAGCAGATTACCCCAGGTGGGGTAGGAGAGGCTGAGGCCAGTACTGGGCTGGCCCCAGAAGCCTTACTTGGGGTCCTGGGGACCTCCTGGAGCTTCAGCAGCAGTGATCCTGCCACTTGAAGTCTGGCCAGTAGCCACAGTGCAGCTCTGGCGGGCCAGGTTCTGGTTTTGAGTGGTACATACTGCCCCCATGGGTGCCACTCTGCTTTTTTTTGGGGTGGGTTTTTTTGACCCCTGGATAGCCAGGGGTCAAACCCCTCTCCCCTCTCCCTCCGCACTGCTCCCTTGCAGTGCAGAGGACAACTGAATGTGCCATATGTGCCACATACAGCACAGTCATGCTCATTTGACGTGGCCCTGGTGGCCTTCTTTAGGTCCCATACAATGCATTTTGTATGTCAAAAAGAGCAAAGTATTAAAGAAAATTATTTAAAAGAAAGCAAAATCAAAGGAGGAAGGGGAAAGTGTGCCACATTCTCTGCAACAATGAAACCTCAGAGTCAAGTGTTTTTATATTTTTTAAGCTGGCTGTTTGTGAAGGATGCTGCAGCAGTGAAATCATGGCCTCCCTAGTGAGCCTTAATTCATATCACCCTACAGAAATTCCCTTCTGTTCCTGCAGGCGCCAGTCTTTAGAATTGCTCTACCTTGCAGGCCTCCATTACTTCTTAGCCTGTAAACACACTCTACCTTAGGGTTAAAGAGAATAGATATTGACATTAGAACTGGCTGCCAGTGACAGAGGAAGGTAATGACTTGATTTCTAATTCCAGCACCCTCTGGATTCATTTGAATAGGAAGAGCGTATGAACATCAGCCAGAGGCAAAACCTTCTGCCCTGCAGCAATCCAAGCCAAATGTAGTTAATAAAAGTAATCTGTAAAATGCACCATATTTAAATGGGGAAGTTTTAACTGGGGATTTATAGTTACACCTTAATTGCCAGAACAAAGACACAGATATGGTTAAGTGAAGGGAATGTGTAAAAGCTCAGCAATTATTAAAGGAACATGTTTGGGTTAAAGATAATTTCATATAATTTTCTTAGTTGTAGCTCCCCAGAATATTAAAAGGAAAAGAATATACATATTTTCCAGTGAATTTGAATCTCACTTTCAGATTTTACACACTAGCACAGTCAAGGCTGGATTAACACTTTAGTGGGCCCTAGGCAAACAAACTCGTGGGCCCCTACTTTTTTCAGTCAATAATTGTAATATGTAAAATAAGCACAACTGGGCCCCTTATTCACTTAGGGCCCTAGGCATGTGTCCAGTTCGCCTATGCATTAATCTGGCCCTGAGCACATTGTTGTAAAAAGTAACTTGTTTGAACAATTTTTGCATGCGTTTCATTCTTGGAGTTAACTCTCCACAAATGTACACCTACACACACACACACACACACACACACACACACACACGACAAAAAACCCTGGAAATGCTGGATCAGATTCTAATCTGGTGTAAACGGCAGTAACCCCACTGATTAAAAATGTTATATCACTTTAAAACTGCTAGGAATCTGGCCCAGTTTGATCCTCTCTCATCAACAAAACAAGTATTACACTTTCAGCACATACTCCCAAATACTGCCCTGCCAATGTACCCTAAGCCTATTCTAAGCTGAGGACTACCTCCATGAGGGGGAGAAAGTGATACTGTCTCTGTGCCCATCAATTCTTGGCCACTGTACAAAGATAGCCAAATGTTGATGATAAATTTGGAACGTGCACAATTGTCTCCTTTCACTGAACGCTACAGATTCGGCAGCATTCTAAATCCATTTGCTCACTCCAGGAACTTCAAAAATGCAAATTTAACCCGTGGAAGCTTATACTCAAGTTATATTAAATCTTCATATAAAAAAGAGATGTTCAGTTCAACTCTTACCCCTTCCCTCTCCTCCTTAAACATAGCTACTGAACTTCAGCTAGTGAGTGAGATCATCACGCACTTTCTGGAGACCCCCACACAACAAATTTAATCTTCAATGTCCTGATGTGTATGCTTTAACCATTAGTGTTCCATAACTTTTGCTTGCGTGGTTTAAATTGCCCATAGTGCAGTAGCATGAAAATAAAAACAATAGTGGAGGGAAACTGATAGGGATTTTTTTCAAGGAGTGCATAAATTAGCCACATATTGGAAATGTTTATTTCCTATGCAGACCATGTATGAAATAACTAATATATGGCTAACATGCATAGGAAATAAAAACAGGCCTTTAAAGTATATTTTAGAAGGTGTTCCTCCCATATACTTTTTTCCATGCATGCCATGGGAAATTTTTTGATGAGAATAAGTTATTGGAAACTATATAATTTGAATTAATTGGGGAATAGGTTTAAATATCAGTCTCCACGAAAATTATTGGATGACACTTGTATTGTATAGGAGTTGTTGCATAATATATCATGTTCTATGAGTTATTCAATCTTTTAAAATTAAGGAAATCTTAAAAATACATTTTGCTAAAACCCCAATAAACTGAGATGCACTTTTGCAGACTGATCATTTCCCTCCTTATTGCCAGTAGGTTTAACATAGGAATAAGCAAATCCTTACTTTTTCTAATTACAATCTCTTCCCTCTTGGATTCATGTAGTGAATCCACAGGAAACTTATGGCAGATTTGTTTTAGTTGTTAACTATAGACACAAAGGGTGACTCTGACCCTGAACTTCACCAGAAATGATCATGAGCCAGGGCACAATGTCACAGATAAGAGATCTCATATTCTGTGGACACAAACACATAGGCAGGAGAGGGGTGGCTGTATAAGGCACCAGCTGGGCTGCTTTTCGTTTTGGAATGAAAGGCAGTATATTAGATTTTAAACACATTTTTTTTTAAAAAAAGGATATGAAATTATAAGTGAGGGATTGGTAGTACTGCCTGTTATTAAGATGATACCCATTATGAAACTATTTTCTGTTGCTTATAACTTTGTCAGGCTTTAGCCAGCCATTCAGGTTGAAATTTCTTATGCCTGTTCTGTGTCTCATACCTAAGTTAATTTTTAGCCAGAATGTTTCAGTTGTTTCCCAGACTGAGCCTGGGGAAAGAATTGCTGTTTTGCTCCTGTAAAATTCTGAAGACCTCTTCTTGAGAACTTCTGGTGCCCCCATATTTTAGAGTACCGACCTGAAATCAGTACCGTAAGTGGAAGGGGGTGACCTAGGTAGCAGCACCTTTGGGAGCAGGGGCATACAAAAACAGCCACTGCTGCAGCTAGCTATGCTGCTGCCATCAGCAGCAAGGCAGCCAGCGCTGTCTCCTGTGTTGCCACTGCCCAGGTCACGGAGCTGCCCTGTTACATGACTTGGGGGGCAGCAAACTAAAACTCCTCCAAGAAGTTTTACTTTGCTTCCCCTACAGCTGTGGAGTGAAGCACCAGGCTCCGTGCAGCTCAGGACTCTGCAGAAAGCCCTGCAGGCAGCCTGGCAGCAGCCCGGGAAAGCAGGCTCCACCCAAGAAAAGTGGCAAGCCTGATCTTCCTCCCCCCCCGGAGCTTGCCTGCCTGCCTGAGCTGTGCGGGGGCCTGGTGCAGTGCCCCTCGGGACCACCTGAGCTGGATGCCTGCAGGTGGGTACTGCCTGGGGAGGAGGGAGGGGACGCTGCTGCTGCAGAGAGAAGCACCAGCCTTCCCCCCACCCCGCCAGCTCGGGGACTGCTCTGCCCATTGGCAGCTCGCCCACTCCTCCCCGCCCGAGAGGCAGGTAAGTCAGCAGGGTGTGTGCATGACACGGGGCTTAATTGGCCCTAAGTTGAAGCAATGTTTTTTAAAACCCACTACTTCATTTTAGGGCCCCCATTTCATCTACACACATCCAAGGCTGCTGGATTTGGTCCAATACCTAGGTGTGTTACAGCTCAAGTCAAGAGGTTTTACCTAAGGTTTTCAGAGCTGAATTCTGATTCCAGAAAACGAAGAAACTGATCTCGCCCCACTGGGTCTTTCAGCACCTCATCCATGGAAAACCCCCATCTTTTCACTCGTTGTTGGCTGGGTTCTTTGCTGTTTAGGGGAGAGAGAGGAGAGATAGAAATGAATGCTTATTTTCAGCCACATGTCCAAAAGCTGTCAACTGATTTAACTGAATATTAACAGGAGAAAGCTCACCACACCAGCACAAAATGTATTTTTTTCATTAACCCACACAACTATGGGCTAACAAACACCCTAGAAAAAGAACTACCAAAGATCAGGCACATTGCAGTATCAGACTTATTAACCTGTGAGTGGTCATATAACCATGTGATATAAGATAGTACATGACAGATCAGTATTCAGGCAGAAGCAGGAAGACATGGAATCAAGGAGTTAGAAGAAACCTAATGGGCACCTAGTTTAATTCCCTGAATAGATGTAGGCCATTTCACTATTTAAATATGATGTAAAGGGAGAAGTAAAAGTTTAGGTGTTTATGGTTAGAGGGAAATAAAGCTGATATTGAAAGGGTGCTTTTTATCTGCTTAAATGCTTCATGGTAACTTATCAATCATCATACAAGACAAAGACAATCAAACTGTGGTGCACAGATTGCAGGGTGGCCTGCAGAGCATTTACTGTTGAGTCACATAGAACTGCCTGGTTGTTTGGTGCTGGCTTCTCCTATTCTGCTTCATAACTGCATTAGGAGCAGTTTGAAAATGCATTACGGCCAAGATTTTTAAAAGTGATGTATTTGAGTAGGTATATTTGAGTACCTCAATTTTTGGATGCCAACCTTGATATATGGAAGAAGGCAACCACCCTCTGATGGTCAGGTCCTTGTATGGTGTTACAAGTTGGACACTCCAAAACAGACACCCTGAATTATTAATCATCTTTGAAAATATTGTCCTAAATGCTATCCTAATATTATTTTTTCATGAAAGCAATTTGTGTAGTTACTATGGAGAAATTGCATAATTAAAAACAGGAGGAAGTTGTATAGACAGGTGCAAATCAGAGTGAGCTCTCTGCATTGACACGTGTTCCGTACCACGAAAAGGTCTGATACGTTTGAGAAGAAGGTGGCCACAAGACTAGCACCAAATATAACACCTCCATTAAAATATAGGATGGGTGATCACAAAAGTGACAGCAAAAGATAGGGGTTCTTGTGAGTGCAATGCCTATTTGAGCTATGTGCCTATTACCCAGATTGTGGCTGAGCCTTGATTTATGATCACAAAGAACTCTAAAATTAGAGAGTCTGAAGAAAAGTGGTATCCCTGCTGAAGGCAAAGAGACCCAGGAATTTAAATGAATGGTCCTGCTTATATTTTACTTTGGCACAGAGAATGAAGAAAGAAAAAATAAGTTGAGGAAAGAAGATGTTATTTTAAAACACTGTATCAAGGCCTGGAGTGAGCTGTGGTATGTTCTGAGCTTCATTGGACATCTGAACAGTTAAGTTCTGTTCTACCTTGAATTGCTTTACTTAGAGATGCATTTTCCAAAGTGTAGATTGCCATGAAAGACTAATTGGGATGTCACAGTTACTGAACACTTCTCAGATGGACAGGGAACTTACCAGCATGTGGTAGGATTGAAAGTGGGTGTCAACAAGTTCATTTTCCTGAAGGAAAAACCTGACAGTCAGGTTTCACAATTTGGGAAACTGTCTTGCAGGCATTACAGCCTGTAGCTGGAACATTTAATTATAAAACAAACTGCAACAAGGTACTGACACAGTTAGTGCCCTTGGAACAGAGAATAAATACAATTGCTCTATCTCTCATCAGTCAAATCCTTTCACTTTCATCACCAGGTGAATAATCTTCATCAGTGTAACATAGGATCCTAGCAGAGGCCAATCATTTCTTTTAAATGTGTACAAAAGTCCTGATATCAGGTTCAAATTAGAGCACTCAGGAGTATGTAAGTCTTTCATGAGACACCATGCTGAACACTTGGGTAGATACAGTATTAATATAACATTGGATGTCAGGGTACCTTGTAAGTGGGAGCTCACTAGAACTCTGTTTACACCACAGGGGCATTTTGCCATGGTTATGGTTGTTTGTTCCATATAAACCCAGCTAAGGAGATGAAAAAGGCATGCAGTCTTGTGGGGAAAAAGAAAAAAGGAAAAGATTAAACACAAATGCAGACTATCTACAAGGAAATGAAGATAAGAGGAGTAGGGATTAAGAAAATGATTGCAGATCCCCATGCTTGGTGGAGATGGTAACCCATATGTTTGATAAAACACTCAAATCAATTACCCCTTCCCTGTATGTGCTTGTTGCTATAGACTTGGATGCTCTGCTGCCAAGTCTCCTCCTCCCCATAGTCACTGATTCATCATAGATTGGTCCTCTGGAGACAGACCTGGGATTTATTCCTTAGGGCTAAATGTCATAGTTGGGAATGAACACAGTTGGAATGAATTTTGTCACTTTCCTTTTGAATGTTTGCTTATCTTAATGTCACTCCCAGTACAGCTTTGGTTTTGCCTAAGAATGCCAGCTGAATATTCATGCAGTAAGATCAGCTGCTACTTAGTCACCATATGGTACCTGCACTGAGAATTAGCAATATGGTTGATGAGTACATGTAAATGAGCTGAAGAGGGGCTATCGTTGGAGTAGTGTGCTATTCCATTTAAGGGTGTTCCTGAAGCAGATAGGCATGTGCAGACATAACGATTCCAGTCTTGCCATCACCAGCAGTGTTAGTAGCTGGTGCTTCTATTCTTATGAGCATGACTAATAAATACAGTGGCTCTGACCTCCTATGTTTCATCTTTTGTAGTCATCCACAGCTGAATAAAGCTGGCATAAAATGTATCTGTCCTGACGTGGTGGCCCTATAAATGCATTTTCCAAAGGTTCTTATGACTCACCAAAACACAAGGCACTAGAGAATGGTGACCCACCTTCTGCCATTTTAACACATAGCTGACATAAGCAAGTGAGTTAAAAATAAGGCCTAAACCTCAATATGACAATTCAATATGGAGAGAAATAGAGTGTGAGCCCCTTTTCCTTGTCATCATTGATAACTTCTGAATGTACATGTATACACATGATCCATAGGGGAATGTGGGGACAGTAGTACCAATAAAATAGAAGGATTGCTTTAAAATTATTACACATTGCCAAGGAATTTCAATGTCTTACCTCATTTCTATGTCCCATAAGATAGTATCATCACTTATCCAAGGATTGGAAGGTTCAGCGGGAGTTATAAAAGGATCATATTCCACATACTGCTCTGAGTAAGCTATTAAACTGTGACAGAAAAGAGAGAGAAAAATGAACAGTTATGACCTAATGCAGAGATTCTCAACCAGGGTATCACAACACACGGGGGTGCCATTAGATCCTTTAAGGGCAATATTGACACTGCTGGTGTATAAATGCCTATACATGACTCAAGAGATAAACAAAGAGCTCATTTGTAGATGCACTCACTGTTTTCTAAGCTGTGTTAACTGATTCACATTGCAGAGTTCAAATCAAATTTCAATTTGAATTAAGGGTTAATAGGCAATCAAGGGGGTTTGCTCCCTTCTTCACAGACCAGTAGCTCCATGTGCTTGGGCAGGGCTGGGGGTTTAGTTAGGATACTGATATTTAGTCACAGTAAGGTGTTGTTGGCACATTTGACTTTGTAAAGGTGTTACTTTGTGCCTGATAGCCTCTGTTGTGTTTCAGAAACCCAACTGAGTTTCCCCTGAGGGGACTGATATTTACAATGCTTATCTGAGTTCCTACCGACTGTTTTTCCTAAAAACAATGCCATATATACATGCTAATCAATACAGTTTAAATTGTCTAATTCACATGGCCTTAGTCTGCATTAACTTTAATCCTTATTCCACGAGGATTAGTTAATTCAGACTGGAGCCAATTTTAATTTGGACGACAGACATCTACAGGTATATAGTGATGGCTGTAGTCCAGATTAAACCTAGAAAAATGTAATGTCTATAAACAGCCAGAGATTTCAAATAGGAATCCCTAGTGTCAAGAACATTTGGATCTGTTGTCTTTCCAAGTTCTTTGTAACAGAAAAATTGCCTATTACTTTTCAATAGTGAAGAAATGATTGAAAGCTAAGAGTGAGGAGCTACAGAGGAGATGTAGGGCCTGGTGGGGCCTTAATCCAGGTGTGTGGGGTGATGCAAGGAGCCCAGAAGGCAAGAGGGGAAATCCCCTCAACTCCGAGCTTTCACTATTGCTCTTAGGTTGACTGGAGTGACAGGGAGGAGAGGCCGATTGAGCGGTGGGAGAGGGGTGATCCAGGGACCAGTGGAAGGTGGCACTGTGATATGGTGGGGGGTGAAGGGGTGATCCAAGGAGCATAGTGGGTCTACACTGCAGCTAGAGAGCAAGTGAGCAGGACAGGCACATAGCAGACTTGCAGTCCCTAGCCACACCCCAGCTTGCAAGCCCTCTTGCCACAGGTCTGAGCAGTGCAAATCAGATGGCATTAACTGTTAATGTGTCACTCATCACTAGCATGTGCTAACCTTAACATCAACTAGTATTCCTCACAACTAGCACTGCTAACTCTAATTTGTAATCTCACCTTCAGGTATATCCACCTGTTGTCTTTTCTGTTTTACCAAGACCCCAGCACAAACTTCACTGTATGCATCAAGTAATTTTATTGACTTGCATGGTATTGCATACAATATGCAAATCATGTACATACATTTTTGCAACTTCAGTGCCTGAGAATTTAAGTTCCTCAAGGCAGGGCCATCTTTGTGTTGTCTGTACAGTTTTTAGCCTAATGGTATTTTAGTACAATAATTTGTATGACAGTAGTTACTATTTAAAATACTATTACAATGATTAATAATAATAAATATCTTTTAAGAGTTTTCTTCTTAATAAAAAAATTGTAAAGAAACTTCAATAATTTTGTCACAAGCAGATCAGAATTATGTTGCTTTCCTGAACTGTGTTTGGAGCTAGCTAAATTGTTAGTGTTTTCAAAACAAGGATGTATTTAATCCAGAAGCTGAACTCTTTTGGACAATTTTTTTCTCCCATTATTTGCTGAGTTTCATCTAGGAATTCCTACCCATCAATTTATTAAATAAGGCAATCATGTTTTACAATACTTATAGGCTGCTCTAGTTTAGTTGTGTTCATCCAAGTTAAACTTCTTCCTCTGGTCTTTTACCCACTGAAAAGGTCAAAAGATGAAAAGAAGTTGCTTTGACCTGCCCTACTGTACTGTTTTCTGTTTGTGCTAACTGGTACCCGGAGGCATTAAAACTGTAGACTTTGTAACCTAAACAGGTTCTCTTTGAACCTCAGGGTGTCCAGTCCTGCCTTACCTCATTTTGTTAATTATATTTCATGACAGCCCTGGGTCGGGGGTTGCAGGAAGGAGCAACTTCTAATTTCAGAGAGCAGCAGTAAACCCAAAGCTGGAAATGTGAGAGGGGAGGTTAAAAAAAGGAATCAATCAGATACCCTCAGCTGTGAAACTTAAATGGCTTTTAATGAAATAAAGAAGATGCATTAGTAGCACTACAAGTGGTGGCAAAAATAAACAAATAAAAATGTCTAAATACATGTTGCTGCTATAGCATAAGGGCAACAGCTAAGCCACATGAGGTCTAATTAAAGTTACAGGCAAATAGGATAGGAAGGGAGAGCATTTATACGGACATGTAAATGAGGGCTTTTGGCTTTTCATGTAATGCTGTATAATTCTAGAAGGGAATCAAGTAGTTATTGCTCACTGAACTGTGCAAAGCTGGCATTGGACACTTGTCATATGTGTACATGTATGGGGCCCTGCAGTGGATTCACAGTAACCTTGACACAGCTGACACCCTCCAAAACAATCTATGAGACACCTGCAGGTTCATAGGAAAGCAGAACTGGAAGGGACCTCACCGGATCATCTAGTGCAGCCGCTAAGAGGCCAGGGTCAGGGACCAGCTTGCAGTGTAGTTGGAGGAGCCCACATTTACCTTGGGCATCATTATAGTGTACTTATATAATTGTTGTATCAACACACAGTGATGCAAAATATGAGCAGTGACAAGAGAAATACAAGCTGTAGCAGGTTGACTCCCCCTTAGGCAGACACAAGAGCCAGCTTCCTCATAAAAGCCTGTCAGGTCTTAGTTCCAGTCTGCTTATTATATATGTAGAAAGCTTTTCACCCCAGCAAACAAAACAAGCAAATGTGCAAAGAAGGGATGGAAAATCAAACCTCAGGCCTTTCTTCAGACCTGGAGCAAGACAACCCAAGCTCAGTGCATTTTTTTTCCCTCAGCATACCAACCTCCAGCTTCCCTCCTTGGGAGCTTTTAATTTCCTCTGAGCCCAGCCAATCATCTCTGTCAGCTGACCCAGCATTCCTAGTCAGGTAGGTTATTATCCCCTAACCCCTTGCAGCTGGGCTCCAGCCCCTAAGCCATGCATCTTGTTACAGAGGCACTATGAAAAGGAGTGAGTATGGCTGGGGGTGTTAAGTTACAGGCTCCTCCTCCCCCAAACCACATTTTGAAGTCAATTATGTCCATGTCAACTGGAGAGAAAAAGTGTGGATGACTGTCACGGGGGCACTCGGGTGCCCCATGCCTAAGTAGGGATTAGGGCCTCTGCTAATTGCCAGGGCAGCTCAGGTGCTGGTTGCTGGAGCAACCAGGTTGGTCAGGTGACCAGAAGGGGGCAGGGCTGGACCCTTATAAACAGCCCAGGCCGGAGCCTGGCTGGCAGTTCCCGTCGGGCAGCTGGAGGAGTGAGAGCTCTGCAGCTGAGCTGAGCTGAGCTGATGGATAGAACAAGTAGCTGCATCATGGCAAGGGGGGAGAGAACCCTGACTAGGAGGTCTTACTGGAAGGCCAGGTGGGGCCTGGACTTTATGTTACAGCCGGTAGGCTTATGGTTATGTTGTGTTAGGTGTGTAAATATACTGGAGGACCGGGTGAGGTTGTAGGAGTGTGAGGAAGCCTCACGGGAGCTCCCCAGTAGTCTGGGGGTTCCTGGGTGCCCTGTTTGGGGGCATGGAGCAGTGCCTGGGAGGCACAGCTGTTTGACACTGGTGTGGTGCGGTGTGTGGGGTTGAGACCCCAGCCCGAGGGCGGTGTTCTGCCTAGTCGGGTGAAAGACCCCAAGAAAGGTCAGGGGGCCAGGCACGGCTACAGGCCACCTGAGCCCCGAGTGCGGTTTAGTGTGGGACAGAACCCAGAGAGGGTGATAGCATGGAGAGTGCGTGTATAGGCCCAAGTGCGGGTGAGTGTAAGAGACCGGAGTAGGGCAGGCACATGGTTAGAGGCCCGAGGCAGGGCCAGAGCATGCGGGTGGGAGCCTGAAGATTACACTAGCCGAACCCCGGAAGGGGCGAGACTGGGCTTGTACAGCGAGGGCGCGAGAAGCGCAGGACAAGCCCCAGAGAAGGGCAAGCGCGGGGGTGGAGGCCTGAGGCCGGGCTGGCACGTGTGATCTAGAGCCTGAAGAAGGGTGAACACACGAGTAGGCCCCAGAGAGGGGTGAAGGCTAGCAAACACAGGGGTGCTAGAGCAAGGGGTGTCGGTTGCGTGACAAGCCCAGGGGTGCCTGAGGAAGGGCGTGGGTTGTGTGACAAGCCCAGGGTGCCAGGCAAGGCACAAGTGACCAGACAACGTCCGGAACAGCTGCGAGGCTTGGGGAGTGTTAAAGGGGAGGTAGGAGGCACGCATAGCCCATAAGGCCGGGGTGCACTAAGTCACCCCATCTGGTATGGGGGTGCAGTATGAGCAGAGCACTGTGTCCAAGGGGATCATAAGGCAGCCTCCCATATAAAACTACTATACGAACAAGACGTGGCGGGCGAGAATAGAGGGTGCTGGATCACTAACTTGGCACGGTAGGGGGCGCTAGCGGGATCGCGGCCGCCCCTAGGCCCCATTCCGTGACAATGGCACAAAAGGAGAATGATTGTGGTGAGGTCTTCTGGTGGATGCAGCAATTCAGTGATACCTACACCTCCAAGGATTGCTATGGCTGGTGGACATATCTGCATGAATAAGAATCTGAACAGGATGCACTGAGGGAATTTTGCTGAGCCTGCTTTTCATTTGCTTTTTAGTATGAAAAATGAGAAGAAACTGGCATGTCTATTCCCAGGGTGGCTCAGTACCTTTTGTGATTTTAGGTTCAGCTGAGAACCACAGGAGCAAAGGAAGTGAGATGGTATTTCATATATCAGTCTTCTCCAGGCATTATTACAGAAGTCATGTGAAGGCTGATTAGCTAGACTCTAAAATGTCTTGCTAATACTGAAACTTGTTTCAGTTCCTATTACTTCCTCTCCCCTCCCTTCCCCCACTTTTGGTATTCTCTCATTGCTGGCCTGAAATGACTTTATATTGTATGGAAAGTTTACCAGGTGCTTCTGCACAGGCTGACTACAGCTGTCAGATTTCAGCTGTCTAACAGAGGACATAGAAAGGAAATCTCAGTTGTGCTGTAGCGTGTTGACCTGCTACACTGTCAACTGAATTAGTCCCTTAAAGTGTGGACTTACTCTGAAAAGAGACTCTTTACTAATAGCACCATCTTATTTGACAGATCTGCTGCTTGTGTGTGTTCAGCACTGGACAGGATGACTCAGAGGACAACATTTGTCTTAGATTCCTGTTCTCACTAACCCTTTCCTGCTCAGTTACCCTTTCTTTTGTCCAGCCACACAAACACTCCTGTTTTTCTTTTTCTCTTTTCTTTATTTCTTCCTCTTGTCTCTGGTTCTTATTCAGTAAAGCAACCCATGTCTAGGACTGTTTCTGGCACAGTTGCCCATACCTTTAAACCCCAAACCAGAAAACACGGGACCCAATAAAAAAATGTAACCCATTAATAATCAAAGTTACCACATGATTTTAACACAGTAATTCTTGTTCTATTTCTTCCTCACAGGGTCTGCTTTTTCATTATGTCATGGTTTTATTAATGGTAAAAAATATAAAGCATAGGGCCAGATCCTATTCCACTTAGATGCTGCACTTAGATGTCTATGCACGATCCTATTCCACCTGACTCCAGTTTTTGAAAAACCACTAAGACAAAAGGGGACTAAGTCCTCCTGCTCTTCTCTGCTTTTACAGGTAGGATGAAGGGTGTGTTACAAAAGTAGACATGTTATTTGTTTCTTTGTGAATCTAGCAGGATAGAATAGTATTTTACTTAGATGGAATAGGCTCTGTCCCTTTTTGACATTAGCAGGAGCATAGAGCTCAAAGGCTTGCAAACTTCTGAAATAAGACATTCTTTTAATTTTCCAAAAACAAATCAGGGAACTGTATGCTTAGGTGGACCATATGGAAATCCTGGAAATCCAAGACATAATCCAGGACACCACTCCTCCTTCCCCCACCCCATGCTCTCACAAGTCAGAAGGGGAGGGGCTGCATGCTGGGCAGGCAGTGGTGCCTGCCTGTATACCTGCAAGGCTCTCCAAACCACTTCAATTCCCAGCCAGACTGCACCCCATACCCCTGCATTTCCAGGATGCCCATTATAATTCTCAATAGCAGGCCAGGACCAGCCTCTGAAATCCAGGACCGTCCCAGCTAAAACAGGACATGTGGTCACCTTACTTATACTACTGTATGCCACAGTTTCAAAAGTAATTAGAGACTCTGGGTACCTTACCTTTAGGTTTGGAGATGTATGGGGAAATGTGTGAGGCAGAAGGGTTTTTTGTGATACCTTTTACTGAAACAATTATATAGTTGGGAGAGTTGTTGGACAAACTTTTAGGTGCAAAATGCATTCATCTGGCTTTTTTTCTTCATTTTGTGGATTTTTCCATTTTAAACAGCGAATGTTGATATCCTTCAAGTTTTGTGCCTGAGAGCTTGTCCAACATCTCTCCCAACAAAGTGGTTTGTACAATAAAAGATATCGCAGGAAAACCCTTGCCTAGCTTACCTTGGACCTCTTAATGGACCTTGATTTTCAGACAGCATCAGGTATCCTCTGAAAATCATGCCCCTTGAAGGTATCTCAAGCTGGGTACTCAAAAATGGCGGTGACCAAAAGGAGAGCTAGAATTTTCCATGGAAGCATTTTTAGTCGGAAAGTGCTGATTCTTCTTCATGGGCAAGGATACATTTCAACAAATAACCTGATTTTTTTTTTCTTTCTTTTTCTTCAGTTTCACAATTGTTAAACCAGCCTGTTTTGACATCTTCAGAACAAAAAGTTTTCTTTTCCTCTTTGAAAGTACATTTTTGGCCCCAAAGTTTAATTAATTTATACTGAACAAGGTAAAAATAGAAAGAAAACTTGTCTAAAACTAAATTAAACATTTCAGAAAGTTTGGAAGAAATATTTTAATTGACTAGCTTATTGATTTGTGTAATTTTTTGTCAACTTTTTGTCCCAAGTTGGGAAGGGAAAAATTCCTACAGGCTAGGAAGCTTTTCTGCTCAGTTCTTCTTCAAGATCACCAGTCATTTTTAAATATTGGTAATAATGAATAACAGTGCCATTTACAATGCTAGTGTAGCTCTCTACCTGAGGAACAGGCATGCGCTAATCTCTACAAATTAGTAAATCCTACAGAGTTTATCCTTCTGAAATAATACTATTTTAGGAAAATTACAAGACATATTTGTCTGTTTTATAAATTACCTTGGAGAGTATTAATGCCTTGAGGTACTGAGGTCTTTATAGCTAAAATCTGCAAATGAGTCTTTCTGATAAACTTCACCATTCTGCTCCTAAGTGATAATAGGAGAAACAGATTCAGAAAGCCCAGAGCATAAATATGGATGCAGTCGTTTTTGATACAGTAAAATACCATTAAGGGTAAACAGTGGTTTATGAAACCTTTGAATGTTTACTATTTAATTAGTTACATTTTCATTTAAATTGTTAGATTTGATGAGCCAACAGGGGACTTACTTTTGAGCGTTTGCTTTCCTAATTTGCCTAATTTAGGTTAAATATGTTGAACACAGGAGCTAATATAGTGAACTATATCACTTTGAAGTAATGACTATTTAATTTGGTTAAACATGGCAAATCCCTTATGTTTCTCAAATATTTTTCTCAAGGAACTGCCCCTACAGTGTTGCTTTACCATCATAGAATGATAGAAAAGAAGGGCTGGAGGTCATCTAGTTCAACCTGCTTCTCAAGGCAAAAGCATCCCTGTCCAAACTATCCCATACAAATGCACGCGTCACCCAGGGGTTGGAAACATTTTCCAGTGAGCAGCTGGAATGACCCAGATCAGATATGAGATGGGTGGGCACTAAGACCTGGCTGCCTCTCCCACTTCTCCCTGCCCCCTAGCTGCGCCAAGGCCCAGGGAGAGGTCCCACTCTGCTAAAGTCCCCAGTGCCCAGTTGCAGGACAGTGCAGCATGAGCACAGCCCCTATCACTTAATGCCACCAAAGCTATGGCTCCACAGACTGGATTCAAAGGCTCTGTGGGCTAGATTCAACCTTCAGGCTGTAAATTGTTGACCCCTGATTTAACCTAGTTCTAAAATTACAAAAACAATCCTGCTGCACAACTACAAGGCGCAAAGCCCAGATCCCAAGAACACTCCAACTACCACAGGTAAAGCAGGCTCAAGGGCACTGTTCATGTCTCACCACTGCCAGGTTATTAAACACTGTACAAGTGAGAGATCCAAGATCATTATTGTTCAACTGCCTACGGTTACCATACAGTTCTGTTATGAAAGGCAACTCACTATAGGATTGCATTAATCCCTATTTATACCTTAAAAATACCAAAGCAAATCTATCCAGTTTACAAGCAACCAAGTTAAAAAATAACTGGTGCTCTCCCCAGACTTATTTGGGGATGATGAATTCACATCAGCTCTTTTCTGGTTCATAGCTAACTACAAGCAATAAAGATTCTGCAGGCCAAATTTTACCTTTATTTGCACCTGAGACATCAGCATCTTAAAAGATTGGCCTCTGCGTCTTTAAGGAGGGTGAATGTGCATAACCGTGGGCAGAATAGTTTTCTGCAACAGAGCTGGCAATCCTGTACATCAGGGGTCCTCAAACTCCAGCTTGTGGGCTACATGCAGCCCATAGAGCCATGGGACTTCCCACAGGTTGAGAAATTTGGTGGCAGAGAAACTGTAGCAATACCATCACCGTCTCCCACTGACAAATCCCCAAGCCCACACAATGCTGGTTTGGGGCTGGGACATGTAGGTGGTTTGGGGCAGGGTAACACCCCCTGCCCACTGCATGGCTGGTTTAGGCTGTTCCCTGCCCCCCTCTGAATGGTCAGATAGGGCCCAGCCATGGCCAGCAGCTGGATTTGGCCTGCAGATAGACTGGGCACTGGCTATCAAGCCTGCTGGGCAAAAGGGTTGGGCATCATTGTTGTAGATGCTGCAAGATTCAGAAGAGAATTTAGCTTTAATTCCCCCAGAGTTGTGCTGATTCTGCAAGGAAGTATGAACTAAAGAACAGTAAAAACTATTTAGATCTCTTACAAATACAGTGCACAAAAGGAACAATTTGTAACTGAAACAATGATAATTCTACTGAAATAAATTGCAGGTGTGTGAGGGGGAAAAAAATCCCTACAAAGTTTTTGCAAGTTTCTCTTCTCACAGGTATACAGTACTTTAGCTTCCTCAGTTTTATAGTACTCTAGCTTCCTGAACTTTTTCCCTGCTTTTTTTTAAATAAAAAAAATATGGGTTTCCATGCTCCAGGTCTCTTCTCAACCCCAGGAAGGAAAGTACAGAATTGTAGGTTGTTTGTATTTAGTGAGGATTAGTCACGGGATATATTTGATTCAACCTACAGTTCTGCAAACTTCTTTGTATGCAGCTTTGCACATTAACTTTGTGGAAATGTCAAATTTGATCATCTGAGATGACACAACAGGATTGTATAATAATAAGGCACATCAGGAAACTTACCTTTCAGCTACCTTGGACATTTTTAAACAGTGTCTGTCTATCTGCACATTCAGAAAGGTTATCTGGGAAGAGAGATGACAAGGGCATTAATAACCCAGTAAGTCGAGTGTATGCATTGATTGTATCCCAAAGCAGTACTGGCTTTTCATTTCAAATGGCATAGTGGTAACAAAGGAGGAAACAGAACCCTTCTGCGGGTATCAGAAGCAGCTTATTAACAACTTCCCCAGGAACCTTCATTTCTTGTGGCAAAGCATTAAAGAAAACTTCAAACAAAACAATTTCAAGTGTAAGAATGCTATCTATGTCTATGTGTGTGTTTGTAGGCACACACACATGCATATGCACTTGATTGTTCTTACTGGCAGCTGACCCTGCATCTAAGTTGATGGCCAGTTGGTTAGTATGGATAAAGACCTTGAACTGTTATTGCCTTACAAAATCCCACAGGAGAATCAAATAACAAAAGAAAGGACCCAAAGGGTTAAATACACTACAAATATTAGTATAAAAACTGTGCTGAAAAACTGACTTGGCATTTTTATTGCATGCACAAAAATATCACAAGTGCAAAAGTCAAATTGTAGGGGATCTGATTATAGGTTACCTCCACGTAAAAGTCAATGCAATTTTTAAAGTTCTTTGGAGGCAAACATGGTATACTTATAATCAGAACAATGCAGTATATAAATTATACATATGTGCATGTATTTTGGGACAAGGCTTCTAGCTCATCAAAATATGATATGAAACCTAGTTCATCAGAACAGGATATGAAGTTCCCTCCCATTCTCCTTTTTCTGCCTCTAACTCTTAGCAACCTTACACGAGTACTAGTTTTCCACTCCTGTAATGTCCTATCAAACACATATTTCTTACCTATATACCAGGATGGACAGTGCTAATTATGTATCAACTTCATTAATTTTGGGTGTTCAGACTTGGTTCAGATGATCATCACAAATGTTGGCCTTGCTTACTGAAAAGTGTGTTGATGCTGCAGGACTTGTCTCTAGCTAACTTCACAGTTCCTTCCTATGCTCTAATGACTGGAGCTTGTTACGGGGAGGAACCCCCTAAGGTCTCTCAGAGAACATGACTGGAGCAGATTCACTCATGCTGGAAGAGATGTGCAAGTTGTCTGGCTTTGCTCTGGAGAGCTTCTGACCATAACTGCTTTGCTTTTCATATTTGGCTTTTATTACCTGCGGGTGGTTCTGTGCCTGCCTTCTACTACACATTCTGCCAGGGGCAGTAGCTTTCATTCCTGTTGGAAGTACTCTGGAAACTCTGCCTGTGGAAGCTGTACTCAGGATGCACAGTATGAGAAGATCTCTCAGCTGCACTGGCTAAATCCCCCTACCTTGTCAGTACTGCTTACTTGTGAAGTAGCCCTGGTGACCTGACAGAGAGGCGAAGTTATGGTGAGAGAAGAAATTAGACTGCTGTTTGGGCTAGGGAGTTGCTTGCAAGCCCATCCTGAGTTTCATTGAATGAATTCATTCTTTAAAAGTATTTAATAAATATTTTGGTCAAGTCATCTTCAGACCACACATTGTTCACATCAATTACTTGCTATTTATGGCATGTGGGGCCATGTTACACACACAAAGGGTACTTAGCCAGCCATGTAACTGCTGCTTTTGGCACTTACCCACAGTTTGTGGTTTTAATTTGCCCTCTGACATTATAAAATTGCCCTGAACACCTGCGCATGTAGCTCTCCAGGCCTCCCTTTGAAGCTGCTCCCTTGGGCAGCCAAGATGGGGAGATACAAGAGGCCAGGAAGAACAGAATAAGCTAGAGGGAATGCAGCTCTGGATGGAAGGAGTCCCTCGATTCTAGCCTGGACCCTTGCTCCCAATGGGGTGGAAACTTCTTCGCTGCTCTCCATCCATTTCATCTAATGACTTGTCTGTCCATATTGTACCCAGAATGGAACAGAATCACAAACTGCATGTGAGTGCCCAAAATAGCAGTTATGCACTTGGGCAAATGCCATTTGGGTATATAATGTGAAATAGGATCTAGCCCTTAAGTTATATTGCATTGTAATTGTCCCCAGATTGGTTGGCTATAACTTTTCATATATTTTGAATTATTTAAATAAACCAGCAAATAAAATGGCATATATTTAACAGTGTCTTCAGGCAGGGAGAAGAGTAAAGTAATAGATTCAAGAGCCATCCCATAGATTTGAAAATAAACTACAGCCCATAGTATCTACCATGACATAACCATATGTCCTATCTAATATTTAGGTTTAGATACATGCTACTTTACTCAAATCAAGCTGACTTTGGCATGTCTTTTTATCATTTTGCACGTGGAAGCATCAGATATGATGCTGGCTTTATTGGTATGTCAATAACAATACAAAAATCTTTTTGAAAATAATGGTAGTTGCTTTTTCTATAGAAATACTCAGTTTCAGAGTTGTTGTGCTAAGTCTGGTTGCTTACTTGTTTTCGGAAATCCTCTTTTGTCGTTTTTCGTATAGGTTGGGAGGGCACATGTACAGGACTCTGGGGCTGAGAATCTTCTGCGATGCCATATACTGACTGAAATGAACAAACAACATAAGAGATCAGTGCATGTTCTTGTTACACGCAACCCCCACTTAGTGCTCTTAATTGGTTCCTGAAAACCTAAGCGTTAAGTGAAATGAGCGTTAAATGAAACTGAAAGTTTTTGATGACCCAAGATGACAACTGCAAGTGTTTTTAATGACCCATGACTGTGAGCATTATAACAAAACTTGCTGAGAGCTAAGTGAAATAAGGTATCAATTTAAAATTAGCGTTATAGCAAAACAGCACTAAGCAAAACAGTGTTAAGTGGGGGTTGCCTGTACACACAAAAGGAAGAGTGTAATTCACAAAGCAATAAAATAATTGGTCAGCAATTTCCTACTTTTTGGCTCCTCAGAGGTCAATAATACTTTAGCTTGCAGCAAAATTCATAATCAGACTACCTTTGCAAATACTTATATTGGATTGCCTGCAGCAGTGTTAGCTAAAAACTGTGATTTATCTTTGATGAGCTAATCTGAGGAAAAGCCATTATTTCATTTTCAGTCAATCAAATCTCTTATGTCTGAAACACACTACCTAGATATAAAATAACTGTTGTGTTCTGTGTGCTTCAAGCTTATACCATAAAGAATAGAACGGTGTTTATATTGGAACTGGAATACATAGTTGATGTTCCTTTTTAGGAGGTATTGGCTTCATGGGACCACCACTTTTATCTATTTGCAAGATCAGCAGTTGGGATAGGGAAAAGAGAAAGTAAGGGTGGGAGCAGAAGTCCAAGTTCATTGCCTCCCAAGCTTGAAAGCAACATTTAATCCCAAGGTTTTTTATAGACTGAAACTGAAAAGGGGGCTAATTGGTGTCAAAGGAGTCACATTTTCAGGAAACATTCTAAAAGAAAATTTACCAGACTAGCTGGTAGGGCATTTACTTGTTAGAAAACTAAACTGGCACTGTCCTCAGTACAGATATCTATTATTTATGTATTTGTTTATTTGTCTTCATTTGACATTTGCAGGAGACATTTGAATGATCAGGATGAATTTAAATAGCTAGCAGGGCTTGGGAGCCTAAAGTCTCATTTCCAAAACAGACTTACGCACAGAAGAGTTAAATCTTACTGAAAGTCCACCTGCAAAATGTCATATTTCTGTAGAAAACTAAATACTTTTGAAAATCATATCACTTGCGAAAGTGGTATTTAGGACCAGTTACACTACAATCAAACTACCGAGCTGTAGAAACGTCTGGGTAGGGACACCTTCTACACCTCCTGCTGAAGTTGGCGTACTGGGCAGTAGGGTGGTGTGAAGCTTTGGTCCCTGATTCGATTTGGCGGAGATTCGGCCTGATTCAGTGGACGAATTTCCGAATCCGAATCAAATCATAGGACCCTTTAATCTCTCCTAATTGAATCAGAATCCTCCAAATCAATTCGGAGAGATTCGGAAAGATTTGGAGATTCTGACATAGACACAGCTTTAAATGTTTTTTCTTCATACCTCTAGGTAGCAGGGGTTTGTGAGTGCTGTGATGCTGGGGTGCATGGAGTGTCCCTCAGAAGCGCAGGGGGCTCCCCAGCACACTTGGCAGCAGACCTGGAAGTGGACCAGAAGCACTTCCGGTCCACTTCTGGGTCTGTCAGGGAGTGCACTGGGGGCCCTGCCGCCTCCCCCCCCCGGCAACTGGTGCCTTCTGGGTCTGGGGGGGGGGCACCCAGAGCCCCCTTGAGGCTGATCGCAGAGCCAGGGAGGCATGGGGTGGGGGGCAGTGTGCTCCCTGGCAGACCGGAAAGTGGACTGGAAGTACTTCCTGGTTGACCAGTGAGTAAGTGGAGGGCCCCCCCCCCCGCACTCCTGTGGGACACTCCATGTGTGCCAACATTGCAGCAATCACGAGGCACACCTGCTACTTGAAGGTATGTAGAAAAAACTTTTAAAGCTGTGTCTATGTCTGAATCGATGATTCTCCAAATCAGGATCGAATCTTCAGCTTCAGATTTGGCCAAATCGAATACAATGATCCATATCAACAAATTAAATTACTGTTCCTGATTTGGGCCAAATCCAAATCTGAATCAAATAGGGCCCGCTTCACACACCCCTACTAGGCAGCCACTAAAGCAATAATTATGAGGCCAGAAGAGTAAGCAAGGGTGGCAGGAGGGCATCTGATTCTTTAGCTTAGTGATTAGGGGTCTTCAATGGGATGGGATCTGGGTTCTGGTTCCTATTCCCTGGGTTATCTGTGTGTTTTTTAAATAGATAGTAAGTAAAGTGCAATGCATGGACAGGCCTAGAACCAGTGACAAGAACCCAGGGTCCCACACATGCAAAGAAGCTACCCGCCTCACTGGGCCACAGAATCACACTCCATTTTGCATGTTCACCTGACCCCATACATCAGCTGTTGCATCCTTGCATACAGAGTGACTCAGCTTAAGCAGGATGGATGGAGGGTGCCAGCAACTGATCTATTTTGTGGCCTGGTGGTAAGGAAACTCCCCGAGAAGTAGGAGCAATGTGTTTGAATCCCCTCAAGCTCAGGAGAGATGAAAACTCAGATCTTCCAGTAACTCAGACCTTCCACTACCTCAATAAATGCTCCGCTCAGCATTTTATGAGGTAACAGGCAGGCAAAGCTGCCCCTAGGGATGCGCAGAGCCTGGGACAGATCAGCCTGTGTGGGCCCTGTGCGGAGGGGTGGGGAGCGGGGAGGACTGGCAAGTGGCCTGAGTGTGAAACAGGCAGTGCGCAGCAGCCACGTGGAGTGGTGGTGCCCTCAGCACGTGCCAGTGGTGCTGTCCATGGGGCCCTTCAAAGGCAGGGCCTGGGGCAGTCGCCCCAATTGACCCCCCAAAAGGGATGACTCTGCAGGCAGGAACCGGCAAAAGCTTTTTTGAGCAGATCTCAGTGTAGTCAGTGAGAGTTAGAAATACTCCAAGTATGCCTCCTGGATCAGTTCCCCCTCAGGACATCAGCACTGCCTCAGCACTGACCTGAATCACAACAGAGCTTAGGTTGGTGCCAGATGCTGAAGTAATTAAATTGGATTATTTCGGAGCATGCTCAGAATCCCACGTGTAGACCCCTAGGAAATTTGCAGTCCAAAACAAAGATGACTGCTTGAAATTAGGTGGCCACTGAATTCTCCATGAGGGCTTGCCCAGGGCATAAGCCCTGCCCATTTTGCCTATGCCATCTATCAATGACTTGGTCTGCTATATGTCCACCTGCAAAATAACACTAACCTTACCTTTATGGACAAATGTTAATTAATCTTTTCAGAGTATTTTATGATTCTTATTTAAGAGTGACAATATTAGGTGTAAGACATAAATGTTATTAAAAAAATGGACCTTTTTAACCTTCTGGGGGTTTTTCATACGGCGACACTTTCTGATGTCCATTTCTGTGGTGTTCACACAACCTGGCTAAAAGAAGATATTGATAATATCGTCACTTACGGTTAGAATGAACATGCTACCTCCTTCTTCTATAAAACAATAATAGGAATAATACCAGCTGGAAATATGTTTTCATACTTTGACTATATATAAATATTGGCATAAGAATTGCATCTTTTCAAAATGCTCTTTTTATTGACTTAAAACTATATAATATCAATCATACTAATTAAGCAAGAATGCTCAGGCTGCTAAGGTGGGATCTCAACACTAAACCAATTTACACGTAACTGTGTCACACAAATTCCATTTACGCTAAACTCGCTTGGCTTTTTTCTTAAAAGGTATATTTTTCTAAGCAGCAAAACTTGCCTAGCTACTTTGATATGCATGCATTTATATATATTTATATGTTCAAATTAGCAATTTTGTGCATGCAGAAATCTAAAACGTTTGAAATATACTTATTCAGTTTTGGCTTGATTTGAAGTTTGAAGAAAATATGGAGTGGCTTTAAAGCTAACCTCTTCATACAGCTAATGCTTGTTAGTTTAGAAAAAGCCCATTAAGGTCCTTTAGGTATCACAAGTTAAAAACAGCCTTACCACTGGCCTGTGAACATCCCAAAAGGCTCTTTCTTGGCTATCCAAAATTTTCCTTTCAGTTTTATCCTTTTTTCTATCAATTCTGGAAATAAAAGAATAAGGAAATGAGCCAATATTTCACTTTCTTGAGAACAACAGCACTGAGCTAGCAAAGTGAACTTGACAAGAAATAGAAAGTGACAGTGACCAATCAAGATTTACTGCTCAGGGTGAATGAAACAGAGAAAAAAGGTAAGCAAATATAAACAACAGTAAAAAGGAAATGAGCCTTAAATTCCTTCTGGTGGTAATAAGCTATGCTTTTAGTGGCAGACATACATTTTTTAATTACAATTTTTATCTTGGCAGCAAACTGTTAAGTAACTCAAAGACTAATTACAATTTTAACTTCCACTTTTCTCATCTGTGCAGAACACTTGTATTCTGGACTGAAATAATCTCTCCATTAGCATGCTATTTTAAGGATAATCACTACGCTCTTAACTGCTCCATAATTACAATGTAATTACAGAGTTAATCAAAGAAATACTATAGATATACATACACACACATACATATACATACGTGTACATACACACATATAATTAGTAACATCCCTTCATTTTGTAACATGTGATGCTGTTTGACTCTGAAAGTGCAAACACTATTTGTTTTAGTGTTTGTCCAGGGTACAAACATCCCTATTACATAGCATGAATGTGTGATCTTCCCCTGCTTTATAAGTATTACATGTAAAATCTTCTTTTGCAACATGGACTTGCAAGCTTTTACATGCTTTATAACAGGGGGGTCATCAGTCCACAGCCTGAAGGTTGAATCCTGCCTGTGAAGGACCAGTTTGGCTTGGGGCAGCAAAGGTAATTGGAGGCACATAAATGCTCTGTGCCACCCGTCCCTTCCATGGTGGTTCCCTTTGCAGACCTCCTTCTGAAGATCTCCCTGCTGCTGTCTCATGCCAAAACTAATCATCACTGCAGAACTATCCCTCTCTGTTGCTGCTAGGGATGAGGATCAGTAGCAAAGGTGACCACAGGTGGCTTGAATGCTCTGAGGGATGGAGATCTGAGGTTTGTAGCAGAGGGATGGGTTGGAAGTGGCAGCCTATGGCACCCAAAGGTTGCTGACCCCTACGATAGTCCACAAACCCAGAAGTGCAAATGTTTTTGGATAGTATTGATGATGTACTACAGATACTATTGCAAAACTGTGTGCTGTGATTACAGATAGCCATTCCAATTAAAGTGCCCAGAACATCTCATGTATCAGCATCCCCATGCTTCAAAATGGTGGCAGGAGAACTTTATCTAAAGCTGGCTGAATGAGCTTTAAATAAAGTGGCCCTGCTGCCATTTTGAAGCACGGGGATGCTGATACACAAGATGCGGGAGGCTGCTGGAGCACAGTAATTGCCATGCTCTAGCAGACTCAATTAATCAAGTGCTCTGACAGTCTGGAATTATACCACATCAGAGTAGCCTCCCTGCTTGTGTATGGGCATTCATAGAGAGAAGATGGCGGAAGGAGTATAAAATCATATTTTTTATGAAATCTAAGTCTCATGGAAAAATTGTAGAATTCTCCATATTGCTTTGGTAGCGCAAGCAGAATAGCAAATAGTATGGGTATAACTACGTTTTCTGAGATGTGTTACATATCCAGTGTGGTGATAAAGTGAGATATACGTATCTTATGGACTATTAGAGCCAACACTCTGGCTTCTTCAGAAGTGACAACATTTATTATATCAAGTGTTTTACACACTTTCAATCATGCTTCTTTTCCATTTATGCAGAAATTGAGGCAGAAATCTTGAGTGGCTTGCCTAAAGTCATATGGTGCATCAGTGTCTGAGTGAGAAATAAAGCCTGGAGTTCCCAACGCACAGATATGTGCACTGATGATTAAACCTATCGTTCTCTCTTTTGACAGGTGACTTTAGTATTAATCTGATGTTGTTTGCAGTCTGACAGTGACTACAATTCAACACAGATGTTGACTGGGAAATGTTTTCTTAATCCAATCCCCTTTTCACTGCACTCAAAATACTTACTTCACTTGGGCCTCTGCTTGCATAAAGATGAATTCCCACTTCCGTGCAAAAGCCCTCTGCAGTCTTGCTAAGTTCTCCTTATAAGAGAAGAGTAATAACAAGAACAATAAATCAAGATTATTATTACAGCAGTTTAATAACAAATTAACAAGTCAATTTTTTTTAAACCTGGAAAGCTCATGACATTGAAATTAATATTGGCTCCTAGTCAACTGTCTCAGGAGGCTAACTGTTAAGAATGTGAATCTAATGGCATGTTCTGTTCAAGCTAGCACTCTGCTGTAAATGGAAGGACTTTCGCAGAAGTTGTAGGAGTGTGAAACAGTGCCAGAGCACTGCCAATAAAATGGTGTTGGACTTGTTCCCACGGGTCCATCAATTTACTTCCCACAAAATAATACTGAGAATCCTCCTGAAACTAACAACGGTCTAGTGTGTTGGCTGTTATTGCTGCTTGTTTGCTGCACTTTGTTTTTAATCTTCTGGAACTGTCTCAGGTTTTACTTGCATGTGTTATAAAGGCTAAGCACCCCTCCTTTAGTCAGTGGGTACCTACTTCATGAAGTCACTCGATTGCTGCAAAAAACAGGAGTCTGGAAATCATCAGGGTGACTCATCATTAAGAAACTGATTAGCACTCTAGACAATGGGAGTAATGACAGATAGGCCCAAATACAACCTTTGGATCCATATCTAAACTGCCAAATCTGGTATTATTAGGTTGTAATGGTTCACAACCATTCCAGAGAGATATCTAAGTCACAAATTTTAAGGAAGGGTTTGAACTTCAATAAAAATTCAAGGTTGGGGTGGGGGAAAGGGCACAATTAAAATGCTAGGTTCAAACTCATCGTGTCCAGAATTCACTTTATAATACTTGTTGGTATTCTGAAGGCACACATCCAAATTCACATGTAACCACAGAAAGGTATTATCCTGAGTGCAGCTAAATGATGCCTACTTTTTAACTAAAAGGCAAGATGTTAAGCTATAGCTACTGTCCCAATTCAAGAAAACACCTAACCACATTTATTCACAGATTTTGTGGCCAAATAGGACATTTTCATTATGTAGTCTGATCTGCCGTATAACATAGGCCATAGAATCTCAGTTACCTCTGAGATACATCCATCCATAAGACGAAGTACATATGTATGCAGGAAAGCACTCAAGCATTCGCTTCACAACTTTCCTGAATTGGGATATTTTTCTGCATTCTCATCAGAGGGAATAACTACTCAAACCAGGTGTCTGTGAAAAGGCAAAAGAAAAAAAAAACACCCACTCCCACTGTATGTTGGTGCAAATTAGGAGTAACTCTATTGGAGCCAATGGAATGACACCAGTGTAAAACCAGTGTATGTGACAGGAGAATCAGGCTTAGATTTGGCCAAAAATAAGGATACCTGATTTTTACACGCCCAGAATATTGCTTTACCAGTATGAATTTAGAGGCCCAGGGATCATGCAATGGAACCCAGAAGATGAACTTTGTGTTGCTCTACAGAGATCATTTTTGGCAGATTTCAGAGCTGGGTTAATACATATGCGGAGGAATCCTGTACAGAGAATCCCTCTTCCAAAAAAATTAGAAAAGTAGCAACACTGGGAACTCTTCAACAATTCAGTGGGCCCACATCTCCTCTGAGTAGTGGTAGTTTACACCCATGACACTCCTCAGTTGGTATAATGGCTAGGAAGAGTTGATGCCCTTATCATATGCCTGTTTCACATTAAGGAGTTCACAAATGTTTCCTAATCATGTAAAACAATCAGCAAGGAGGAAACGAGAATGGTAAAACCTAATTGCTTGCCATCATCGGAGCATCACTGCTCTTCAGAGACCCTGGTGTACAAAAGGACTTACCCATAACTTCAATGCACGTGTACTACTGATGGTGCCAAAGGTTGTCTGTTGTTTACAAGGTATTTCTATAGCATTTTCTGATAATTGGCTGACTCTAAGTAATTATTTCTAGATAATACATAAATAAATTAATTTAATAATGAAATTGACAATATGAAGAAGAGAAACCTAAGCACGCACATGGATTTTCCTAGTCTATAGCTGGTGTCTGTCCTTCATGCTATTGGGAGTTATGCATAGTATTCAAGAATAGAACATATCTGCTCTCAGTTACACCAGAGTAAATCTGGAGTAACTATGCTTAAATTAGAGGGATTGCTTCAATTTTTTATCAGTTCTACATTTGCAGAATTTAGCTATATATTCTTTGAAGGTACACCTACATAATTCTGTTGCCTGACTTGGACAGGCAGCACTCATGGAGACTCAGCAATAGCAGAATTCTGGTCAGTCACTGATAACATTGCCCTCATAATGCATATATATAGTTCCTATCACCATCAACAGGCCTTGGGTAGAAGGATAAAATGGATTAAATATGGCCCTCTGTGATCCAAGCAATCAATATCCCTTCTAGGTCTATTTAGTATGAGGTACATCCTTTTAGAGCCTACAAACATGTGGCATGAATCAGCAGCAATGTAACTGTCCAATAATCTAGCATCACAATGCATCTGAACATCCATCACCTGAGCAGACTGATTATCACCTCCTGGTGGAACACTGACTGGAAAAAAAAAAGATGTAATGTGAGTTCTTATGCAAGTCACTCAAGATCCGTGGAGGGTATGTTTTGGATACTTGTCTTAAAGAAACTACAAAATGTGTGTCATGGACATCTCCATGTAGAAGTGTGATGTTCTCTCAAAGATCAGCTATCCACACTGCTCTTAAAGAAACCAGGATAGAGTGGCACACTCTGCGGCATGTAAAGTAGAAAGATTGAGTTTATAAGCCATTATTCCTCCCCACCCCATGAACTGTAACATCAGTATACCTACAGCTTCATAATCTGCCAGCTCCAGCCTGGCTTTGTTTTGCATGGTCCGCTTGCACAAATAGATGGCTAAAAGGAGAACCAGAATGAAAACAAGGAAGGAAAGGGGAATTAGTATAAGACAGAAAAAAACCTGAAGAGCATAAATTGCTCCTTTACATCAGAATGTGACATCAACCAAGGAATGAGAGACCAAGGTATCTAGCTGACATTCCCTGTGCCTAGTAAAATACAGCCTCCTGAAATGATATAGCTCTTAAAGTTTTGGAGGTATGTTAGTTAAAAATATGGAAAACTATTTTAGTTACACAGTATTTTACTTTCCTGTTATGGGCTTGATAAACAGCTTAAACAACAAAGCCCTGGGAGTAGGAAGTGGTGTCCAAGAAGGCAATTCCAAAAAGCACTGTTGGTTCCAGGACTTGGAAAAGAGTTATTGGTAGGCTGAGAAAAGGTGCTCTTACCAGGGAATTGATGTTATATATTGGTAGCTGATAAGGGACATTAGGCATGTCTATTAGGGCTGTGAAAAGCTTTGGTCCCTGATTCAATTCGGCAGGGATTTGGCCCAATTTGGTGGCCGAATCTCCAAATCTGAATCAAATCAGAGGACCCTTTAATCTCTCCAAATTGATTTGGAACCCTCTGAATGGATTCGGAAAGATTCGGCGATTTGGATGTAGACACAGCTTTAAATGTTTTTTCTACATACCTCTAGGTAGCAGGGGCTCTGAACGCTGTGGTGCTGGGACAGATGCAGTGTCCCACAGAAGCACGAGGGACTCCCCAGCATGCTTGGCAGCAGACCTGGCAGTGGACCAGAAGTACTTCTGGGTCTGCTGGGGAGTGCACTGAGGCCCCCCCAACCTCCCCTGGCTCAGTGACTGATGCCTACTGGGTGTGGGGAGGCACCCAGGGTCCCCCTGCAGCTGATCGCTGAGCCAGAGGAACATGGGGAGCCCCCCAGTGCGCTCCCCAGCAGACCTGTAAGTGGACCGGAAGTACTTCTGGTCCACTTCCGGGTTCGCTGCCAAGCAGGTGGGAGGGCCCCCCCCACTCCTGTGGGATGCTCCATGCACCCCAGTACTGCAGCAATCACGAGCTGCGCTGATACCTTGAGGTATGTAGAAAAAAACCTTTTAAAGCTGTGTCTGTATCCGAACCACTGATTTGCTGAATCAGCATCGAATCTCCAGATTCGGATTTGGCCAAATCGAATCAGGGACAGTGATCTGAATCAACGGATCAAATCACTGTCCCTGATTCAGGCCAAATCTGAATTGAATAGGGCCCGTTTTACACAGCCCTAATGTCTATACTACTTCTATGGCACTGTGGAGCATGCTGCCAAGAAGCATGCCCCATGTACCTGCTCCTGCTCCACATGTGCTAAACCCAGAAACAAGGTAGTGAAGCTGCCTTGACAGCACCCATGGTGCCACTGCTTTCAAAGCATGCCAGATCTGGAAGGAATCAGTAGAAGCAGTTTCATAGCCTCATTTCCAGGTTTCATGGGTACAGGGAATGCTTCTCAGAGGTATGCTTCTCAGTGTAAACATGCCTATTTATTCCACACAATCTTGCATTCTGCGAACCTCCAAATTAAGAAGTTGCAGCTGGTCTCTCTCTTTTTCTCTGCTATGGGATGAAACTAGAACATGGAACCCCACTGTACCCTGGAGCTGGCTCAAGTTCAGATGAAATTCAAAGTTGTGTATCATAGACCAATTTCTAAGCATTATGAGAAACCAGGATATTACGTTTATAAAACTGCCAGTTTTGTGCCCTCTCCCTATCCCTGGCAGGGCTAGTACAATCCTCCCCCCCAGTATATAGGATTGAAGTTAGAAAATGGGCCTTTGTCCTCATAAAAACTCAATAAAAATAAAATATGATAATAATATGGCAAGAATTTGCAGTATAACTGTGAAGCTCTATATGTTGGTCACAATTAAAGAATTTAGAAATGTTTTTGCAAAAGACTAACGGTACCATGTTTTTTCCCCCATGTTCCCCTACATCATGCCATTTGTACACTTCTTCTGCTACCACATTATATGAGGATAACAAACTATCTATAAAAAGTTAAGATTTATAGATTTCCCCTTCTCCCCACCAAATATAATTTCCAAAATCCATAATGATGAGTAATTATTGCCTCGTGAAGAAAAAAAAATGATTGGGAAGCGGTGGTCTTTTTAGTTCTAAATTGCTCTTAGCTACTGGGAGTTCCTTTGAAAGAAACACTTCCAAAGAAGATCTTGTTTTATGAGTGCACAGATGCATCCACTTCCTCTGCCAGTGCCACAGCAGGATGGAACAATTGATTTTATCATTTGGGTCTGAGAGGAATAGTTCTAAAAGAAGCCACGTTATTGTGCAGAGACAGCAAAATAACAACAGCAACACATTTTCTTTATGCATTATTGCTGTCCTCAGCCACTCAAATGTTTAATACAGCATACTGTGGTTTATTAGCTCATAAACCATTATTATTTTTCTACTGTCACCAGCTATCAGCTAGTAGTTTAAACACATTTTCCCTTTAATGTCTTAATGTCATGTATCAGAGAAGCTTAATTTTCTTTTGCTATTCTACATTACTGTTGAATAGATAACTGGTTATTGATAGACCAGATTAGCACCCAAATAAGGTTCCTGTTATTGACCAACATTTCAAACTGAGCCGCAGAGCAGAAAGCATTCTGCTAGAGGCCCGATTATTTTGATAGCCTTGAACTGAATGACACATAACTTCCTAACAGGCAGTAAGGTTACCTCAGACATTTTCTATACTGACTTTCAGAAACTAGAATATTCAAATTCTCACCATAATCTGTGTTTTCTGGTTCCCAGCAGTTTGAAGGCCAAAAGTATGGGGCCTGGAAAACAGCACATGATATTTTTAACAATTTCATTTATGCTGAAACAGTGTCCATGATACAGCAGAACATTATAAGGATGCGCTTAATCTAAGATGCAAACCCTTCTCTTAGTTAATCATTGAGAAGGTTGAGATTGACTTCAGTGGAAACAGTGTTGGATCCCAAACAGAGTACTATTTAAAACTATCTCTGTGTTCAATTGCTTAGGGATGGACAAAAGAACTGAGACAAATTCAATGATCCCAATATTCAGATGACTTAGACACTATTATCCCCTTATTTGAATATTTGCTTATTCTCTCCTCCCCCCAAAAGAATGTGAACTTCGAGTTATCTTCTGGGAGTGGGAGAACATTATTAAATCTTCCTATACATATGTTGGTTTTTGAGCAGGGCCCATGTGTCTGTTAGCATACCAAACATATATGAAGACAGAGTCTCCTGCCCCTATTTATGTCTTAAATCAAACAGAAGATACAGTTTGGATTAAGAAGGGGCAAGTCAGTTTTACTTCAAAAGCAAACTAATATTAAGGTTTTAAAAGCAGGATTCAAGCTAACATTATTGGTTTTGTGCTGTGCTCAAGAGAGTGTACAATGATACCACTTACAATACATTAACTATGTGGTATCTACATGATAGTTTTAATAGAATGAAGAACAATTTTACTAGAGTTATGTGTGTCATAGTGCACTATTCTGACTGCTACAGGTGTCACAAGTGGGCACAATATATTACATGTATATATGACAGATACTTGTGCCAAAACGCAGCAAGGAGAATTGTTAATGAGCATGTGGAGGAGAGTCAAAAAGCATGTGATGCAAATTCTGCCCTGACATAAAACCTATGCAATCCCACTGGATTTCACTGGGAGGGTAAGATGCTGCTGGGAAGAAATTCAGGGAGGGAAGTGGTATGTTCAGAGGAACAGAATGGGGATTCTACCAGAATATTGTTGTATGGAATGACCAGGGTAAACTATGTTGCTGGGAGGCAAGGATGCAAAAGTTGTGAATAGGGGTTGTAGGAGCAGATATAAGAGCAAGAGAAGTGAAAAGGAGAAACCAACAGGATGTGGTGGTACTGTGATGTCAGATAAAAATAAAAAAGGTGAGTTAAAAAGGACACTGACATTGAAGCCTGCTTTCTTGGTGGATGTTTAAATAAGGGACAAAAGCATGGCTTAATAACCAGTTAGTAAGCAGTATAGCCTTTGCTCTGCCAAGTCTTAAGGAAAAACAACATGCAGCATCAGCACAATGGGAACTAGTGACAGCACCATCACAGTTAGGGGTGAAGGGCTTTTTAATTAAAGCAACAGAAGTGAGGGAATAGGAAAGGCACAGACTACATGAAGAAGAAAACAAATTCAAGTGAATGTTTATACCATAAGCTCTAGGCGTGTACTTTGCTGTTAATGTTCAGCAATAGATAAACTTATATAACAAGAACTTCTAAGTGTCTAGGAGTTAACTGGCAAAGACTCTATCTATAGATTTCAGCAAGGAAGTGTAATGCAAACAGAAGCTATATTTAAGAACTCAACACAGCTGGGAACACAGTTATTGTGGGAAAACTAAAGCATTGAGAGTGTAAGTGACTTTGCCAAGGTCACTGAACCCTGATCTCCTCATCATTAAACTGGCGTTGTAATAAGGAACGATTTAAATAAAATAAAATAACTGGGCATAGGCTTCAGCTGCCAAATCTAAATCTAGATTTCTAATGCCCTAAAGTTTGGAAGAGTTCAACATAGGGATTTGATGCAGTTCAGTATGCCTAGAAAGGCAGCTGCAGAAGACAAACCAGGGTTAAAATTGGGAGGCCATTTCCCGCATAATTTGAGTTGTTTCATCTGGATTTTTGAGTCAAGCTTGCCTCTTAATATAACATGCTTGAAACAGTGTGTTTAAAATAATCACAGAGAGGTTTGTTTAATTGTGTAAAAACTGAGAACTGGGAAGCAGAAAAAGATAGTTTAGGATTGGACAACAGATTTTATTAAGGGACTTCACCAGCACGTCAGAATGCCAATAAACATAGGAATATACTGTACATGTTCTGTGAACTTCAGCAGCACTGACATTTCAATGCTTACAAAAGGAACCATGTAGAAATCAGGTCTCACTTACCTGAAAACGATAGAAAGTCCCATCATCTTTCAGCGTAAGGACATGGTCTGAGATTGGAAAGATATAGCCCTGTGCTGCTATAAGACTTCCCAAGTGTATTGCTTCCACTGTGAAAGAGTGGGGAGAGAAAGAAAGCAGTAGAAATCTGTCATATAGATGAGCACTAGAGAATCCACAGCTCTCAGCACCAGGTCTGATACTGACTGACAGTCAGGCCGGCTGTACCATGCCACTTCATATCTAAAACACAGCTCTCAGCTCTCCAACCAAAGACAAAGTAGCCAAGTGGAAGCCAATCTTATAACTAAGGTACGACAATGTTAACCTCATGTTTTAAACACCCCCATTGATACTTGTGGGATGTCACATGCTGGCTCAGCACTATATTGTGGAATTCAGTTCAAAGCCATTATTCGTACCAGTGAAAGCCATCGCTAAATCCCATTGTTTCTCCAAATGATGCACACAGATGGATTAATATGCATTTACCAGCATCTTTACTGCTATAGAGACAAATAAAAATGAGGCAAAGGGCTTATTTGGACAGATGTATACAAAAGCAGGGGGGGTGGGATTATTGCAGATTTTTTAGCAGCCCCAGTTGCAGTCTTGCATCCTTTCCCTCATGAAAATTGTACCTCACTGGCAGATTTGCCACTCACTGTAAAAGAGTCATAAAAATTTATACCAACTTAAGGTATGTTTCCCAGAAGACAAACAGGGCCCCCATAACTTTCTGGTTTCCACAGTGTAAAAATACCTTATTTATCCTTAGATACCTCTCACCTTTGTTTATAAGCCCTGCAGCAGTACTAAAATGAAACAGGCCTTCTCACAAAGCGAATTGTTTTACAGATGAAACATAGGAGCATATGACTGGAAGGGAACCAATCCCCTGCATTCACAGGCACTACTCCAAAGAAGCCTGAAAATTGTCTACTCCCACTCTCACATATAATACAACTAAAAACAAAAATATTCCCGTAACAAGCCACAGGGACATAAACAGGTTGCAAGAGTGCTGGTAATGCCCTGCCACTTGAATGGCAGAGAAGTTTAGATAATTTTAGGCAGAGAACTAGGCTTCACATTATGGTGGAAACCAAAACTGCCCATCTTCCACGTAGACAAAATTCCTTAATCATCCCAAATCTGGTACTTGGCTTGGCTCTGAGTGGAAAGGAAGGACCCTCTAGCCTGCCTGTGCCTACCTGTGAAGTTCCTAAGTATTAGGTGCATCTGAATCAAACTCCCCACATCTAGCTGTGGCCAACTCCTATGCTTCAAAAGAAGGCAAAGAAAATCCTAGGAGCCAATACAGTATTCTTGAAGGGGAATTTCTGAAGTTTTTGTCTGGGACCTCGAGCCATCTAGAATAAGCCTGAAATATCCTGCATGGAGGCTGAGTTACCTTTTAACCCTAACATGGGGATGGCAAATGCCTGAATTTACACAGAATGTGTGCTGATTTTTGATCGAAGAACACCCCTGTCCTGTCATATGAACCCTTCCATAAACTGGTTTGAAATGGTTGGAAAGTCTGCAAGTGGTAGTATAAAGTGCTACAGTTCTCTAAATAGCTGAGGGGTTGTAAGTGCAGATTCATATCTTTTTTCCTCCTGTTTCTCTCCAACTGATTAAAACCTCATTTTTTTATTGGCAGTTGAGGCTCAGCACTAAAACAATAAGGTGTATCTAATTCCATGCACAGCACTGCTACATTCGGCCTTAGTGGTCAAGTTACCTGGGTCCTCAATGATGAGGTTTTTCATGAGCCACTGTACAATGTCAGCACCTGCAAAGACAGAAAATAATTAGAATTTGAAGGCCACAGGGCTCTGAAAGCACAGGGAGCCACTTCACTTAAACAAGGATGTCAAAACATAAATGCACTTCAATTCATTTTCTTTTCTATTCCCACTGAAGGCCTGAAAAATCATTCTGCTTGTATAAAACTGTTAAATACGTATGTATGTGTTTGTAACATTCCATGGATACCGGCTGCGATGAAGAATTTGACATACTATATTTTTTGTATACCTAATATACCCGAATAAGACACACACTTTAACTATGTGACATAGAGTAAGTCCTGGAAACACAGTGTCTAGGAAATGTGGCATCCTGCTGCCTCAGCCACACTGTCTCTAGTGATGTCATACCTCCTGGACAGTCTGTGTTTTCAGGAGGATTTATACTGTTTCAAACAAAGTTAGGTCCCAGACCCTTGCAAGGACAGTAGCAAGACTGTTACTTCTTTTCTGTAGCTAGTTATTTATACATGTTCCTTTAAATTAAGTGTTATTCCCATGCCACAGCCCTCATCAAGACATTACAGACTGCATGCAGCAGCTCACACTTGCTGCTTTCTAGGTACAAGCTATAGTGCTCAGGCAATAGTGGCTACAAGAGAGTTAACACCAGACTTTGCCTTTGGTGCTTGCAGGGTCACCAAGAAGTGGCACCCATCATGAAGCCAGTGGACAACGTGCTCTAATGGCTGCCTATTTCCCCGGTTTCTGTTCCAGTGAAGAAAAATCAGTTTCTCTTCTTAAGACATGAACCCCAACTTTGGGGGGGGGTGCTGATTTTTTGGGAAAAGATTATGTTTGTGGAGGTCCTATATACCAAAGCAAGAAAAGACCCCGCTACTACAACTCATTGCCCCTCAAAGTGAGAGTCAGAGCTCCAGAACTGAGGTGACAATCAGAGAGAGGGATGGGCCAAGTTTTTGTCAGAGGTACAAGCAAGAATATGACCTGGAACCAGGTGCTGAATGTGTCACTTGCTAGTGATCTGATCACCAGGTGAATGAAGAAGAGCATCTGGGTCTGGGCTTTTTAGGTCTAGTCAAGTGTAACAAAGGCAGTTTTCTTGTAAGTAATGCAAGACCTTTAGAATTGATTCTTACATGTACTTGAGCACCCTGCTGCTCTTTTCACAAAATTCAGAGGAGCAGAAAATGTGCCACTGTTCATAAGAAGCTCCTATTAATGGTCAATAAAATCTAAAATGAGAGAAAATATTTGCCGCCCCATTTAAACCAATTCAGCAAGTCATAAAGCAGATGGGGGTAATCCAACTTGTGGCACAATTCTGTATCACTCTGGATATGGTCACAGTATCAAGACCTCATCAACGTCCATTCAGTTTAGCTAAAGGTATTCATATATATTCAGATTTGGTAATACTTAGCATTATATTGTGTGCTTTCAAAATATTGTATAAAAGACAGCTAATTAACAGGGCTGTGTGACACAGCACCATTCCGTTTTGACTTTTGTTTCACCATTTCAAAGGGTCAGTGTTTCGTTTTGCTGTTTTGAGGCACTATTCCATTTCGTTTTATCGAAACTGTTTCCCTGTTCCTATGTTTCACCCATAGGCTATAATGGGGAGTCATGAAAACGCCTATAACTTTGTCATTTCTTGCCTGATTCAGATAACAGATGCACAGATGGTAGCCCCTTTTGAGGGCATGAAGCCTGCCAAGTTTCAGTAAGATAGGTGCAGGGGTTACTGGGAACTGCACCTCAAACTGTTCAAAGCAAAACTCATCACTTGTTGGCAGAGGCAGCCTGCTGTCATCCTGCGTGCTTGTGCCCCCTGGGAGGGCTGCGGGGCTGTCCTGGACTGTTCCTGGGTGATGCAGGCCCCTGGATCTACATGCAGGATGACAGCAGGATGGTGCTGCTGGCTAGGACCGGTGCTCAGTGCAGCCTGCTGGCCCCAGCTGGTGGTGTCAGCCTGCTGTCATCCCATGCACAGATCTGGGGCCCCGCACCCCCTGGGATGGCTGTGGGCTTTGTTGGACTCTTCCTGGGGTGTGTGGGCCCCTGGATCTGCACGTGGGATGACAGCAAGCTGCTACTGCTGGCTGGGGCCAGTGCCAGCAATGGGTTCTTCCCAGTGCTTGGCAAAGGCTGCACCGAGTGCCGGTCCCAGCCAGCAGTGGCAGCCCCCTGCACAGATTGGGGGCCAGGATGCCTCAGGGAGAGCTGGGGAAATGATCTGAGAGCTGGGGAATCGAACAGGGAGCTAGATGTCAATATCAGAGCAGTCCTTCACCCCTCCTCCCCCTCTTTCTCCTTAGTTTCTGTTTGGCTGCAAGCAAGGCTGGCTTCGAAACTTGAAATGTTTCGAAACTTTTGAAACATTTCGAGTACCCTCATTTTGTTTCAAAGCTGTTTCAAAGCCTTTTGTTCTATTTTGATTCCACTGTTTTGAGCTCAAAACATGTCAAAACAGCTTTGAAACGAAACATCTGGCAAAATTTCACACAGACCTACTAATTAACTCCAGTTCGGTGCACACCAGCTCCCTGTCTTGACAGTTTTAGTGTACACCAAGGATTAAAAGCAAGGGACTCAAGCTACAGCAGAGGAAATTTAGATTGAATATTAGGAGAAAGTTTCTGACTATGAGGGTGGTCAAGCCTTGGAACATGCCAGCTAGAGAAGTTGTGGAATCTCCATCCCTGGATGTTTTTCAAGAGCAGATTGGACAGACACTTGGCTGGGATGATTTAGTCATGATCCTTCCTTGAGCTGGGAGTTCAACTAGATGACCTCATGAGGTCCCTTCAAGCCCTACTTGCCTATGGTGAAATGTCTCCTGCCTCCATTGGGCACCAGAGAGTGCTGTACTGAAGCCCAGTGTGCCTGTTCCATACATGCCAACTCCTGAAATAGAACTAATGAAGCCATGTTGGGAAGTGGCTCACTTAGGGCTAACTAGAGTGCACCCAGCACTTCACTAAGATACACTGCTTCCCTCTGGGGAGATAGCATGTCTGGGGTGGGTGAGGTTTCCCCCAGGTCATTGATCTCTGGTGCCATACTGAGGTGGTGCACACATGCTCCAGGTGAGAGATAGCTAACTCCACTTTCAAAGTGGACTAGAGTTATTTTTCAGAAAGCCACTGCTAATGCATGATACGCATGTCCATACAAGGGGAGTTAAAGCAGAAGAAGTAGTGTACAGTAAATTTATGTTCTAGCTTACTGCACTCTAGCTGCCTTCTACAGACAAAGTCACCAAGTGAAAATTATTTACACCTATCCTGAACCTGTTTTTCTCTCTCCAATGTACCAACTAGTTTCCTTTTCCTTCTCTTTTCCCAGTTCTGGAATATTGGACACTGTTTCTGTGAAGCATCTCTGTGATCCCAAATCTGAACTCACAGGATGGTACTCTGAACGAGGGAGACTCCTTTGGTTTAGTTTAGAACCAAACTGTGTGTTAATTGTTTGTCCTTTGCACAGATCTGAATGAGTTTAAATCTCTGGTTAAGCCAAAAGTGAAGTTAGAATTATAGAAAATTACGGTGGAAAGGGATCTAAAGAGGTCATTTAGTCCAACCCCTTGCTCAAAATAGGACCATCCCCATCTAGATCATTCCACCCAGGGTTTTGTCGAGTCAGGCCTTAAAACCTCCAATGATGGAGATTCCACCACTTCTCTAGGTAACCAGTTTCAGGGCTTCACCACCCTCCTAGTGACAAAGTTTTTCCTAATATCCAACCTAAACTTCCCTTCCTGCAACTTGAGACCATTGCTCCTTGTTCTGTCATCTGCCACCACTGAGAACAGTCTAGCTCCATCCTTTATGGAACCCCCCCTCCTTCAGGTAGCCGAAGGCTGCTATTAACCCCCTCCTCAGTCTTCTCTTCTCCAGACTAAATAAGCCAAGTTCTCTCAGCCTCTTCTCAGAAATCATGTGACCCAGCCCCCTACCATTTTTAGTGCCCTCAGCTGGGCTTTGTCCAATGTGTCCACATCTTTTCTGCAGTGGGGTGCCTAAAACTGGATGTGGCCTCACCAGTGCTGAATAGAGGGGAATCATCACTTCCTTCAATCTGCTGGCAGCACTCCTACTAATGCAGCCAGTGGTGACACATAGGGAGTCCACTCCCTGAGAGCACTGGTGCACCCCCTCACACCCAGCACTCCCGGCTTAGGCAACAGGCAGGGGGGCCAGGAGGGAGCACTGGTGCCCCCCCTGCTAGTGCTGGCTAAGTTGTGGGGGTGTCAGATGAAGCACCATGGCTGCTTCTGGGAACGCTGACTGTGCTTCCTGGTTGGTGCAATCGGCCATGATGAGCACCGACTGGCCACTGGGGGGGCATGTGCCCCCCCCCCCCCGGCTCAGGTAGCACCAGTCACCCATGAATGCATCCCAGTATGCCATAAGCCTTCTTCACAACAAGGGCATGCTGTTGACTAATATTCAGCTTATTGTTCACTGTAAGCTTCAGATCCTCTTTTGAAGAGCTGCTGCTTAGCCAGTCAGTCCCCAGCTTGTGTACATGGGATTCTTCTGTCTTAAGTGCAGGACTTTGCACTTTTTCTTACTGAATCTCATGAGGTTTCTTTTGGTCCAATCCTCCAATTTGTTGAGGTCTCTCTGAATCCTAATCCTACCCTCCAGTTTGGTGTCATCTGCAAACTTGCTGAGAGTGCACTCCATCCCATCTTCCAGGTCATTGATAAAAATATTGAACAAACCCAGCCCCTGGGGCACTCTACTTGATACCAGCTGCCAACTAGACATCAAGCCATTGACTGTTGTGAATATCTACACTTTCTTCTTGAAGCTGCAAATGTGGGCAGCCAAGAGAGAAAGAATCATGGGTCCAGAAGGAGACCAAAGGAGAGGGAACCTAACACAAAGAGGGTGGTACTACCCTACTGAGAGAGTGCTGGGTTACAGCTCCAACTCTCAATGGCTCTTTAATGCCAAATGCATCACGTACACTAATATCTGTTGGAGTCACGCCGTGGTAAACCATAGCA